TATTATATTTATGACAGAGTGTGGGTATACATGCAGGGTGGAGGGCTTACTGTCTTCCACTTTGATTGGAAAAGTCAAAGTAGCTTTAAGAACAATGTATCTGCCCCCCCTTCTCACAATTTCCTACTTATATTTTTAATAGATCTTTAAAAAATGCATTATTATTATTTTCAGAACGATACTTCTTGCTGTGGGTTCTTGTATATGCCCCAGAATGGGCATGTGTCCAATGTGTTGCAGCATGATTTGAGCTAGGCGGTAAGCTAGAACACTTGTGCAAGCCAGGCCATTGATCTGGGACACTGAAGGGACACTTTTCGCACCCTCTCTCACTTCCTCAGCAATGTGATGATCTCTTCAGATGGGCCACTTGCCCTCTCTGGCTCTTGGGATGGCACTCTTTGTCTCTGGAACCTTACAACGGGTACCACCACCCACCATTTTGTAGGTCACATCAAGAATGTCTTGAACTTGGCTGTCTCTTCTGATAACTATGAGATTGTTCCTGGTTCCAGGGACAAAACCATCAAACTCTGGAACACTCTGTGCATGGTGGGAGCCATCCTGAGTGGATGTCCTGTGTGAACTTCTTCCCCAACAGCAGCAACCTTGTCATTGTCTCCTGTGGCTGGGAACATGGCCAACTGCAAACTGAAGATCAACCACAACAAACCCATATTTTCACTAAACATGGTTCTTGGGTGGTGGAAGGAAGGAAGGAAGGAAGGAAGCAAGCAAGCAAGCAAGCAAGCAAGCAAGCAAGCAAGCAAGCAAGCAAGCAAGCAAGCAAGTATGGACTTTGCCTACAAACCACATTCTCAGAGTTGAAAGTGCACCACATTCCCATCTCAGGTCATAGATCCTTATTCTCTATATTTCCAAGTTGTTGGGTTTTTTTTTAACCCACAAACATGCAAATACAAATAACTGCAGAAACAAGAACAAGTCCATTCAAGCCACCTCCATGACAGCTTGGGGCAGGTTGGTCCCAATTTCTACGGCAAATATTTGGGTAGAAATGGGATCGTACAGTATCCACACACCACTAGTGTTACCTATGCTAGGAGAAAGCTTGACCAATGTGACTTTCACCTGATTTTGCTTACCTGAAGGAGATATAAATTGACCATTTTGCCTTCATTTTCATGCTGCCAATCTGGGGGAGACTGGGAACTGTATGGTCATGATGGCGCTCCATTGTTATAGGGAAAAGATTGGCCCACTAATGGACCATAGTCTGAGTAGGAGGATATGTAATTTTTCCAGTTCAGGATGATGTCTACCCCTGCTCAGATCTCATGCTGCCAGTGGACTACACATTATGACTTCATGCTGATGTTACCAACCTGAAGAAAGAGACTGGCAACAGTATCCTCATGTTGATGTTTGCTGCCTGAGGAGACATTGGCCATTGTGATCTCATGCCAGAGTTCCTTCCTTCAAGCAGAAAGAAAATGGTCAGCATGCTCCTCTATAATAATATTCTTAAAACTGCAGAGCTGGAAGGGACTCTATGGATCATCAAGTCCTGCTCCTTTCAAGGAGGCACAATGGAGGATCAAACTCCCAACATCTGTCTCTGTTTGGTGTCATCTTGAAGAAGAGAGAAACATTGGACCTGTACACATAAGAAACATCTTCTTTTTTTGTGCTTTGAATTAAAATGGAGGCATTTTCTTTTTCTCCAGTTATCCAAAAGGCAGTTCGAGTTCTCAGAAAGACAGGTATATCCATAACACTAATTCATGAGATATTATTTTAAAAATATATCCCTCTTGGTACCACTCCTTTGCAATGCCCGCTTGCCAATGCCCAGTCATTACTTGAAGGAAATAGGAGCTTCCAATGAATTTGTAGCCACCGCCTGGGCATGGGAAAGTGTCTGAGATCCAGTTTAAATAGGGAGTAGTTTTTCCCATCAATTGGTATTCAAATCCCCCCCTCAAAAACTAGCAAATATAATTTGGAGGCACACACTTCACAGACGTTCCGCTGTTTGATGACCACTTTGATGACAGGGAATACAAGAAAACATTTAAGGAATGGATTTGAGGATGCCTTTTTTTAAAAAACCATGAATCAAGATTGCTGCTATGCCAATTGTAATTAAGAGATCTTCCATACAAAGAGATCCACATATCTTTCACCTGTCTAGTTGCAAAGTTGTTATAGGGATTCATAACCAAACCTCCATCTGCAAAGTGCACTTCTCCAAAGACAGCTTTTCCTGAAGAAATCTTCAAGTCCTTAAAATTGTGTAAAAATAAATCCACCTCTACAGTTTCTCTTCTGGAACTGTTTTTAAGCAGCAGGGAGGAAAATCAAAAGTTTCTGAGTGGAGAGTTTTGATTGCAGAAACAAACCTAAGCGAGTGTGACATTGTACTGAACTCTGTCCCGCCTGGAAACAAAGTGAAGTATCTTTTTAAAAAATTATGCCTTCATAATGTACAAAAAACACAGAAAGTCATGGATATTGTTGCTATACAGATTGAGACAAGGTGAATGTCATGTGGCTGTTGGGACAATATGAACAACATCAGTGCTGGTTTAAGTACATTATGGTGAATATATGTTCCAGCTTAGTTTTTAAACCTGGTACAGGTCTCAACCTAATTCTCTCTGAGAAATTCATCACTGGGGAGAAGTGTGGGGACACTTAGAGGCAGACCTGGTTAGCTTTTAGATAAAGCAGACTATAGCACTTACAAATGGATTGAAATCCTGTTGTCTCCCAACCAAGAAATAAAGAGGTGAGACACAGGTGATAGGCTATAAACTGGGCAATGACATTTTAAAACTTTAATTCTCTAGACCAGTGGACCCCAACCTTCGGCCTCCAGATGTTCTCGGACTACAACTCCCAGAAGCCTTCACCACCACCTCTGCTGGCCAGGATTTCTGGGAGTTGAAGTCCAGGAACATCTGGAGGCCCAAAGGTTGGGGACCACTGCTCTAGACTACAGTGGAGCAGATTCTAAGCTTGTCTGTCTTTCCTAGCCTACAAGAATGAGCTCTAGTGCCAGAGGCATTATGTAAGCAACAGATGCACCCCATTCATCTCATATTGGGGAGGCATTCCTGTGCCTTGATTCACGTCCCATGATTTTAACACGAGCCAGCCCCTCCAGACCACCTGAATCCCATGATCCAAAACACCCCAGTGAGGACCCCCTATCACCAACCGGTGCCCAACAGTGCTTACTGCTGTCTACCCTTCCTTCCACACTACCTATCATGGCTGTGAACATCATTTCAACTTGGAAACACCCCAGATAAACCCATATGCTCTGTGGGCAATCAGAGTAGAAAAGGCAAAATAAAAATAGAAGCATCCTGAGCCTCTTTTGTCCCACAGTATATGCCAATCAGGAAACCCAGATCAATATGACCAGGTTACTCACTCTGGACTTACACCATGGGTGATCAGGCTAGCCAACCAAGCAAAAATGTGAAAAGAGTCCAGCACTGTGGGTCAGAGGACTTATATATCCTCCGCCCCACCCCCTGAAACCAGCTTGTACTAACTCAGTTGCCTTATACACAGGTCCCGCTTCTTCCTGCTGAGAAGCAAGATAGCCCCTCCCCTCTAGGCTGAACACAGCATCATCTGGAAGGGTGCTAACTCAATCCTCTTGTGCAATGGAAATGATGTCATCAGCTGCAGCAAGTTGTTGCTGATGCAGTCTTCCTTTCATTATTTGTAATGGGCACCATACAATGTGACAATGTTGTGTACACCCCAAAAATTGCAAAATAAAGCATTTAATAAGCATCAACCTGCTGCCTGCAGTGACATATTTCCCATTGTGCAGGTTGAGCATGACTGCAGGATTTCAGCCATGGAATTAGAAGGTGGATTGGAAGAGTTTTGATTTTGTACCTTGAAGATTGGGTTTCAGCACTTTCCTGAGGTGACCCACATTGTGGGTGTATAACTTGGATGTCTGAAACCCAAACTTCACAAAACTTGGAGGGATTGTAGAGGAGGGTCAGTGGAAGCCACTATGTGAATTTGGTGTCTCTAGATGCCTTGAAGGCCATTTTATATTGTTTTAAGAATTGATTAATTGATTCATCAATTTGTCAGAAAAAAATCATAAATTTGTAATTTGTGATTTGTCAACCTTGACAAATCAGATCCACAGAGATTCAATGGGCTTACTCTAGTGCAACTTACTACCCTGAACAACAGCCTTTCAGACACTGTTATCTTGTTAAGTGATCTTTTAACCATATTGGAAAAGGGACAGTTTGTGTCCTGAATTCCCACATGCTATTTTCCCTTACTAAGTTCTACTGAAAATGACTGATATGTCCTACAGGAAAATATACTTCAAGAGATTATGTGGCCGAGATAGAGCTGAAATGTGAATGACTTATTTTGGTGTTCTGGAACAAGGTGATCATTAATACAGAGGCCATTTGCTTTTTGCTTATTTCTGCCACAGACTGCAATCCTACAAATAAGGAGCCCAGGGGTAGCCCACCCACTTGCCCATCCCCACCAATCTTAGAGGCTCCGTTTCATCCAAAACCCTACTAGGTACATTCTGGCAGCATGGAAGACCAATGAAGCAGGTCTTCAGATCTTTGTTCTCTCCTTGAGACTGAGGTCTAATCTTTACAGAAAATGTAAAATTGCAAACATTAAGAGTGGGCTACACACACTCTGAGGCATATAAAACTTTCCCTCTATTTTGGGGGTGTGCAAAGGGAATGAGCAGGGTATGAATACAACAGATCCACACCTTCTCCATTCCTACACTGCCATATCCTACAAACTCCTTTTTTCCCTCTTTTTCTGGAAGAGTGACTGGCATCCTTTCTAATAACCTTGGAAGGGGGCGTCTTAGTCGTCCTATGGACTTTGGGATACATTCTTAGGAATGCAATACTGAAACTTTTTGCAAGCAAATTTGTGGGTGTGTGCATGCATGGGTGCCTCTTCATGTAGAGTTTGTATAAATAAAAGCTAAAACTAAATAATCATGTGATTTCTCAAGACAAAACTAAGATACTACAATCCAAAATAAAAATTCTTTGGGGGAAAAAATAGAACACCACATCAAGACCATGTAAGGTATGGAGCAGCCCGGTTGGGAAAACAGTTACCACTTGAAGCTCTTTCAATTATAGAATCCTTGTCCTTCTGTTGTACCAAACTTTGTTCATTCTGGAGTAGAACTTGCACATGATACACAAATGTGTTTATTAAAAAAACTCCCATAACAATGTGCATAATTAGATTCCAGCTTGAATTCAGTGAGAAACTTTGCCATCAGAATTAATACTTGTGGCTTCCCTCCCCCAACCCCCTCATTAATTTCCCGAGAAATCCCAGCAATGGCAACAAATTAAACACCAGACAACTAATTTTCACTGATTACTAGCAGCTGTTCAGCTGGGTTTCATTTTAAAATGTTGTTATGAGACAGATGCGGTCAGTTCTAGTGTCCACATTGGAAAAAAATACACGAAATCTTCATTATGCAGTCCTATGGCATGCTTTACATTCATCTGCAGTGGCCTCTGAGTATGCCTACACTATGCAGTTTCAATAAAGAGCCAGCAGAATACGGTCGAGAGTGTAGTTAGACTAAAATTCAAGAGACCTACGTTCAATTCCCCCTTGACCATGGAAACAGATCGGGAGCTTGGTGGTGGCAATGGTAAAACACTCCTTGGTCCTTTCACATACTTCGAAAACCCTATTAGAGTCATCATCATAATTTAGAAGCAACTTGAGAACATATAAGCAACGACATCTAGTTTTTGTAGTTTGACACTACCCCAAATTCTGTGCTGTCAAGCTTTTATTTCCTCTTCACTAAACTGCAAATCCCAGGATTTCTTAGGAAGTCATATCAAACTGCTCTGTCCTTGTAGTGTCAGTGTTATGGATTGCTACTTAGAGAGAGAGAAAATCCCTTCCTATTATTATTCCTTAACACCAAAATTGGGTTGATTCAGATAAGCAAAAACGAGAAGCTCACATCTTGGTGCCTTTCTTGTGGGACAGCAGTTGTCTAAAGCCTATAACAATGTGATTATATGGGAGGTTGATAATAATGAGATTGACCACATTGACTGGACACTTGCCTCCCACAATATTAGGTGGGCCACTATAGTATGTGCATTTATGAACAGATTTGTGTTCCCTATGAAACCCCTATAGTCATAGCACAATGGAATAAAATATTCTTTGGATGAGAATGCTTTAGATGTCTGTCACATTTCTTGGTTCTGGCTGATATCCAGAGATTGGAAAGTGGTCACATATTATGTTAATTG